CCCCAAAAAAGGGTTACATCTCGAAACTTAGTAGGGTTAGTGTAGGCTACACTGTAAAAGCCAAGCTAGAAAAGTGCTTCCATGGCCTTCTTTTGGTTTTCTGGGTTTTCAAATTTAGGGGAAGAATTGGAGAAGGGTGCGATGTCATGCCTCCGTCGACTGCGAATTTCTAGAATATTATTGGAGAAGGGAGCGATGCCATGCCTCTGTTGACTGCGAATTTCTAGAATATGGAGAATGCCGCGGCTGCCTCAAGGCTTCCAACACCTCACTACCTTTCGAGCATTGGATCTTCCGTCGACACGCGATGAGTTTATGGAGTGGCTGCGCAATGAAGAACGTTACAAAGTGGAGCACATCTCGCTCATTCGAGTTTGGCAGGAGACCACTGAAGTATGGCAGATTACACAGTAGCATGACTCTTCGAGTGATTTCTATAATGGTAAAAGTTAGCTTTTCTAATCATTATTCTCGAAGATAGAAATCTCTCTTTCTCTCTCAGTGTTCTAACCCCTCTTCTTATGCATCGAATTCCATCATTTTGTTTTGTTCTCTCACTATATTAATTATTGGAAGTGAAAAATTTAGTCTCTAATTCTCTATCTCTATTTAGTTTTTCTCTCTAAGATTTGTTTTTTGGTTTCTGGATTTTTCAAACATTTGTTCCAATAATCTTTGGGTCGAAAGGGAGATATTGGAGAAAAAGCAATTTATTCGTTGCCTCAGGATGTCATCACACGTTAACTTACCCTGTAAGCAAAATGGTTCAATCGCCTTTGTTTCTCTTATTTTTCTCTCATCTTTGTATTAATTTACTTTGAATTTGCTCTGCATTTCCTCTGAATTCAACTGTGTCACAACTTGATTTCTTAGTTTTTAGAGAGGCATGGATTGTCATAACATTCCCAACTTCATGTCCCTTTCAATTTTCTTTTCACCAATGATTTGACCCATTTTAGAGAGCGACATAGGAGGCTATTGGTAGTACTTCTTGCTGTTTTTTCTCCTTTACCTTCTTCTTGAAACAGAAAATGAGAATGAGAAGAGTTCTTCATATGATTCTTCATTGGTAATACTCTATGATTTTCTTGTGTGTTTGGATTTGGATGTTTTGGTATTTTTTTAGGATATGTATTGTTGAAGTTATGCTTTCAGGGCTTCTCTTGTGTTTTCTTTTCTTTTTTTTTTTTTGGTATATGTATTTTTTTAATGAAAATGCCAGCTTTTGGAGATTCTAGAGTTCTTATAGGGTTTAGGGAATTGAATTGTGTTTCTAGGGCTTATTTTGTGGTTTCTAGTGGAATTTTCTTCTTTCCCCCCCCCCCCCAGTGGAACGCTTAGCTATTAGAGACGATTCGGATCTCAAATGCTTAAATTTTTATTGATTATCTTGCTCATTTATGCTTTTAAGTGCTTATGATTAGCATTTTTTTTGTTTTGCAGGGAGGGACGCTATATCCTACAAAAGTTAGACTCAAGCTTATGGGAATTCAAAAGAGTAGAAAGGAGGAAGAAGAATCTCAAGACTTGTTACGATTTGAAACTCAAGATCTTGATGACCAAGGTGAATGCAAAAACTTTATATGCGTTTTTTTTTGCTTTCATTCTTTTATTAAAATTTTGGTTTTGGAAGATAAGTTCCTTTTGCTTGTAGTTGCCCTTTTTCTATCTATGTTATCCTTTCTTTGCTCTCTCTCTCTCTCTCATCACCAGTAAGATGCCCCTAATTGCCCTTTCTCTCTCTAATCTATCCTTTGTTTGCTCTCGCTCTCTCTCTCTCTGAATCTTGTATTTTGTATGCTCTCAGCCTTATTTACCGAGATCGTAATAGTCTCTTTCTCTCTCTCAGAATACCCAATAGGCCATAACTTGTTTTGTTTATTCTCGTATCTCTTACGCTCTGTTTCAGTCTTGCGCGCCCATATACAAAATGGATACATATATTTACAAATGTCAAAGCATGGTGTTGCTCCATTCAGAGTAAGATGGAAAGGTATGGGATTCTACTAGCCTTTGTTAATCTATTTGTTGAAGCGATTTATTGGTGGTGGTGATGAATCTTTTAGATTTTTTTTTTTTTGAGGGAGAGAGCAAGCACTCAGCTTCAATCTTCACCTCGATCTCTCTCTCTGAGAGCTAGACTTCAATCTCTATTTCCATCTAGACTCCAACTATGACGAGCCCGAGAAAGTTCAATCTAAGGCTTGAGCGAACCAGAGAGAGAGAGAGAGAGAGAGATTGTTATGAAGGGGAAATATATGATGGTTGAGGTAGAGACAAAACCAACAATCATATATTTGTTGGGGCCCATTAGTTTGAATTTTGAAGTACTATTTTTCCCTTCTTCTCCTCCTCTTTGTTCTTCTCATCTCTTTGTGCATTCTTTCTACTTCAAAACCCTAGGAGCAAGTTAGATTTCCCCTTCTCCCTCTCTCTCTGTCTCTACAAGATTCTTTCATTTCCTTTGTTTTCTGTTTTATTCTCCGGTTAAACGAAAGATTGAATCAATCAGTGTCTGTAAACTTTTGGAACCCATTTCCAAGTTATAGTGTAAACGGACTTAGGGAGTTATTTTGATTTTACGGTGTTAGCATTTTAGACACTTGGTAAAATAAAAATCTGTATCACTATAAAAGCTATCCACCCTCATTTTTCTTACATTACTGGTTAGTTATTTTTTTTATAAAGAGAAACTCTTTACTGCGATTCTCTTGTTGTTCTACTCTTGCTTTGCAAACTAGTATTAGGCTTTCTTCTACACTAGTCTACATATATGGGTGGTGTTTTAGCTAACCCAGAGGACGTTGAATCCATGGAGCACGAAGAGTATTAGGGTTTCTTACATTGAATCCAAGTCATAGGTATCTTCCTTTCAGGGATTTCTTATGGTATGTTGCTTTGCTTTGGAAATTTCGAGGCCATCCATTAACCTGAACTAGGGTTTTGTTCTTGGTGCCCTATTTATGGCTTATCTAGTTTTCATGGTTTCTTTTTGAAGGTTTATGCTACTGATTTGTTGCCATAAGCTTGGATTTTGGAATTCAATGGTTTGGGGGTTCATTGTGGTGATTCATCTAGGCGGCTTTTTTTTAACTATTTATTGGTCTTGGGGTTTATTTGCCCGCAATATACATTGGACTGGACATCTGGTCCAATATCTATAGAAGAGATTTTGAAGGTTCTATAGATCTTGCTCTCTAGTATGAAAATGGCATCCATAGTTTCATCAGCTACCATTTCCCTGAATCTAAGTACATTTTTCTTTTGAAGTGGTATTTTTTTTAGTATATAATTGTTAGTTGAATTTTTCTTAGTTTGTATGTTGATTATGATTTTTTTTTTTTATCTTCGTAATTATTTTCTTTATATTGGAAATTTACGGGTATTATGTTTAGGATGTAACTTGGTTTTACATGTTGTTCCTATAAATGATTTAATTTAGTCTATCTTTTCATGGATTTGGGTTTAGTCGTTACTCCTCTCACTTAAAGTAGAACATACGTAGCTTCATTAAAATTTAGTTACAGGTTCAGATGGTGTGTTTAGCGTAGACAATCTGGTGAGGATCACCAAGCATGTCATTTTTTGGTGTCAAACATCGAGGCATTTGCATGTTCACATCTCGAAGTTTCACACATGGATACCTATGATTTGACATTTTTGCCTCCATAAGTTTTGACATGTATCTAGAAGTTGAACAGCCATATTCATACATGGGATGCATGTATTTACTTTTTTATGTTAGTTTTTCTGATTTATCTATTACTTTAATTATGTCTAAATACTTTGGTAAAAGAATAATATTTATAAGTTTAAAATTCATGTTTTATTATTTTAAGATGTTTTAAGATATTAAGAACTTTTTGTGGTAATAGTACTAAACTGGAGAGTAATTTTTTGTATGTACCACCAATGATTGAGTGGAAGAATGTTGGTTCACCATATTAGAGATAATTAAAAATACATAGAGAGGGTGATTCAAAGAACTTGGGTCCGTCTCAGAGTGCTTTCCCTCCTCTCCCTAGCTTGGGCCCCCCTCGACCACCGCCTTCCTCCGCCCAAGCCCTGATCCGTACTCTCGACTGCCGCCGTCCTCGCCCAACCCTCTTCCTCTCTATCCTCTTCCCCCCACTCCTTACCATAGCTACACCCACCTCCCCCCTCTCACCATTCTAGTTGGGGAGCCACACTCTTCCCATATTGTGAAGGCTTTGAGGTCCTCTTCGGTAGGTCTATACACCCCTTCAGGCATGACATCAAAGGTATAAAGAAATGGAATAGGGAAGTTTGGGCTTTCTCAGACCTAACCTGCCTAGAGAATTTCTTTTCTCTTTCCCATCTAAAGTCAGTTGTAATAGTGCCCAGCAGGGACACCATTCTTGGTTCAATGGGGCATCTCTCACCCTTTCTGTTTGGAATTAGTACCTGGGAGCCGTTTTGTAAACAATTTGGTTTCAGGCCACCAACATCCCCATGCAAGCGTGGCGCATCAACACTTTCAAAAAAATTGGGGACTCTTGCGACGAGTTTAGCTTGGTCCATTAGAGGTCCTCAGGCACCCTTCCTCTTGGATCAATCCAACTTCTCATAGAATCGTTGGCCCCTTTCCTCATCCCACCCTCCATCTGGCTGAAGTAGATGGCCTCTTCTTGAACATTCCCATGGCTTGGTCCTTCACCTCTCCCCTATCGTCCCGCCATCTCAGAGACCTCGATCCTCCTCTGTTTGGATCACATTCCTTGATACACGAGGATGGATGGATCGAGGTCTCGCATAGAGGACGGTCGGGAAATGACCATCAGCGTCCAAGTTCCATTGTGTGGCTAACAAAGTTGGTACTAAGCAAACTGCTGCCCCAAGAGCTTCACCACCTCTCGAGCTTCCCATCATTCACGATGATGGGACGAATGGTTGCTTCATAAACCCCATTTCCCAAGGCAAGTCATCCCTGGCCTTAGAGCAGGCGGCTCTATCTCCCCATCTGGACCAGCCACGTGGCTCTTTCTCGATTGTCTCGCCATCGATCCTCCCCTAGTGTGCATCTCAATGATCTCTTGATCGCAATTTCCTCTTTTCAGGAGATGCCACGTGGCTCCACGTCCTTTGTCCTTCGTCGAACCGTCCTGGTGAGCAAGTGATCGTTGCTTCCCTTTCCAATCCCGTGACACTAGTTGTCCTTCCTCCATGTCTCCCTCCGGTCTTAGGAAACTAGCAAGCAACTCTCCTCCCTTTTCCTCTTTTCACTCATTGATCCTATTGTTTCCTCAGTTACATTTTCTGAGCCTTTCCTCTACACGGATGGTGGACACTTGCCCTCTCCTGTCGTGTCCCTTTCCCCCCTTTTTCACCCATCCAATCGTGTTTCACATGCAAACTGCTCCTTCATCTCGTTTTTTCCAAGCTCCTATACCCTCTCTATCCTCGCTTTCTTTTCCCCCTCTCTCTCCACCCTCTCCCAACGCCATCCCATGCTTGCAACCCTTCTTCCAGCAACCCCTCTTGATATGCCCTCCCCTAGCCTTATTATTTCACCTCAGCGTTTTCCTCCTAATTCATCTCCTGCTCCTCTCTTCCCCCAAATAACCAACATCATACAATGTTGTTTGTAGACATGAATTTTGTTTTGGTCATTTATGACCTGCCTGTTAGATTTATTCATAAACTGATGAGCAATTGGTAAGATGCATAATAGCTTTATTTTAGTTGGAATTCTTATTTCCTCTTTCCAAATCTATCTTGATAAATATTGAATTTCTCATTCGGGCCTTTCGATTATTGGATCTAGAAGCATTTTATTTTAGACATGTCGTGGTGCGTGGCTCTACCGCTATATCCGATTAATGTGTTGCTTTCGACATACCAGTAGACAATCTGATGAGCCTCACCAAGCATGTGTCATTTTTTGGTGTCAAACATGGAGGCATTTTCCTGTTCACATCTTGAAATTTCAGACATGGACACCTACGATTTGATATGTTTGCCCCCATAAGTTTTGACATAGGTCTAGAAGTTGAACAACCATATTCATGTATGGGATGCATGTATTTTCTTTTTTATGTTAATTTTTCTTATTTACTTTTGACAATTTTTATTATTTATATTTCTTTTTATAGCTTTTGAATTTGTCTTCCATCTTATATCTCATCCGTGTGATTCATCACATAGAAATATTTGTTGAGGCGTGTTTCAACATTCAACCAAATGCATATTTGAATTGGGTCCCTCACTTCACTAATAAGAATTAACATGTCACTTCATGTGAATTGTTGTTTTGCGTAAACGTAATCTCAGTTTAAGATGAATCTTTTCTTGACCAAATCATTATTAGCACTTAGCAGCCTTTGTTCTTGCATCAAATAAAACTCACATGAAATGAAAATTCTGCTAGCTCCCCAAAACAAAGGAACACAGTAATTACGTCCAAATTGTTCCAGCATTCATGCAGGTTGAACTGGACAAGATATTGTCTCATTTTTGTCTAAGATGCCCTTTTGTAGGGATTGTAGTTTCTTCAAATTTAGTTATCTCGTGCATTATTTGTGAAATTCATTTATGTTGGGAGCTCTTGAACTTGTACCTGTATTGAGGTCTGCTCTTCAAACTAGCAAACTTTTTGGGAGAGGTGCAACTATGCAGTGGAAGACCCTAACAGCCTCACTATTCTTCAAGATACTATCAAACCATTCCAGTTTTATGTTCTATGATGTGACTCAATGTTTCTAATGGGCAATCTCAATGACATACATGACCAGATTGATTTCAAGTTAATTAAACCCTGGTAATGCAAATTCCATAATATTGTCTTATAGCATGTTAATCATATTTCTATCTCGAACTCTAATTTACATGGGGAACATAATGTCTTCAGATTTAAGAAATGGGATGAGGAGGCTGTGTTCAAGTGTTAAGAGGAGGGTAGGTAGTTATAGTTGAGTTGACTGCTTGGTTGCTTGAGAACTTTCAAGCCTGGATAGGGAGTGAGGTACTGCTTGCTTGGATCACCATGATACTTTTGGGATCATTTCAAAACCCTAACTTGAGTATTCTCTTCAAAGAAAGAGAGTGATAGCCCCCTTGACAAAAGCGTGGCCACCCAAGAGTATCTTCTTCCTTGTGCTCTCATTTGAAACCCTTCCATGGACTAGTCCCTCATGTGTGTGATCAAGCCCATACTATTGCTTCACTAAGGTATTAGTTTTTCTTCTTATATTTCAATTCCTTCCTCATTTCCATTTTTAATTCCTACCTCATTTCCATTTTTAATTTACAGTAGCTCTCTACATCTTTTCGTCATGAATACTTGGTTTTTGTAGTGTCTCCAAGCAAGAGTGTAGTCCTCATACATAGCATGTGTAGACAAACTTGTTTACTCCATAGTTTTGAATAGTTTCACTTTGAGTTTCTTGATCCAAATTTTCTGGAATTTTTATTGAGAATATACATTTGATCAAAGGTTTATGTTATTATATTTGAGCATATGAGATAATATCTTGAGCCTCTTTTTGTATAATGAAAAGTTCGTGTGGTCCCTCATGGTGTAGTTTCACCATATCTTCTTTATTTTGTGCAGTATCTCTCTCAAACTTTCAAATGCTATTTTGATATATATCTCTCTCATGATTTGATCCCCATTAAATGAAATAAAAGTGATTATTTGCTTCCCATTAGATTGATCTCCTTGAGTTATTATTATCACCTGTGCTTTAGACAATAGGATAAAATTAAGTCCTCAAAAGGCTCGTTCGTGGCTCGGGCACAAGCGGTTCGAATCATGCCTTCCTCCATGTATGTTTGCATGTTAACTTGATATATTCACAATTATTTCGAGTTTGGTTGATAAAACAGGATATAGATACTATAATATTTAAAATTTTGAATAAAGACATTGCCTTGCTTCTCATATATTCAGCTTTTATATTATCGTAATATGTGTTTTTCCAAGTCTTTGATTATCACTGTCCATGAGTATGTGTCTCCGATGAGCATGGCGTCGAAGAGAGAGAATGCCTCTCTGATATAGCCATGATGTATGTATGCTGATAACATGGCATTCCATGACATGATATTGCGTGATAGCATGCGATTGAGAAGGTGTGATTGTGTGGTCATTCATTAATAATGCGACTGCATCCTTAGCTTGCCGGCTATGGCATATTTGGTGATCTTGAGGATTTGAGAGAGGAGGAAACTCCCCACACCTTCTGCCACTTTGAGCATGGGGGGTTATTTTTCTGTTTAGGCCAGAACTTTGACTTTCTCTCTCTTAATTAGGCCTTCCCCAGGCACCAGGCAGCAGCTTTGGCTCATTGGTTTCTCTCTTTGCTCTTTACTATATCACTAAAGTACTAAATATTAGGACTTCTGATGGTTTCTCTAATCCAGAGGAACCCAAATGACAACCCAAACTCCTAAATAACAAAGAGAGAGATAGAGAGAGAAGAGAGGCTATTTGCACTGCTCAGATGAGCAGAAGGTCAGATTGGGAACCTTTATGGTTGAAGGGGAGGCCGAACATTGGTGGAGTTCGGTAAAACAGTCCTGGATGGAGACAGGGACTGAGGCCACCTGGGAGAATTTCCTAGTGGCATTTGAAAAATAATATTTCCCCGATTCTTTCCGGGATAGGAAAGAAGTTGAATTTATTGACCTGCAATAAGGGAGGCTGACAACAGAACAATATGCAGCCAAGTTCGCAGAACTCTCTCGGTACGCGCCACACATCATCAATACAGAGGCGCACAAGGCAAGCAATTTTGAAAGGGGCCTCTGGCCAGAAATCAGAGGAAGAGTTATATCAGCCAACCTTAAGTCGTTCTCCCCTTTGGTAGCTATGAAGATTGAAAAAGATTGCGAGGAATTTCAGTTGAGGAAAGAAGGGAGAGTAAGGTCCGCATCGTCCAGGAATTTTGGGAGGAAGACTTGGCTGCCTCCGAGGAGAGACTTGGTTGGTTATCCATGTAAAAAAACAAATGCCACAAAAAAGCATTTGCATGCCAAAAGCCAAAATCATATTTGAAGTATAGAAAATTGAATTTCTTGTCGACCATATTGAAGCTTTATAAATATTCAATAGCGAAACAATAGGAAGAGGTCACAGACAATCTTCATATACAACATGCTATCAAGTGTATAGTTGGTTTTTTTTTTTTTGAATGAAGTTAACTATAACAAGTTTATAGTTGTTAGCTAACAATTTAACCACTTGTTCGAAAATTCCAACCAATTTCATAAAAGAGTAGGAGAAGACCACTGTTCTGGTTGCTTTGTTTTACCTACTGCAACAAGTAAAAATGATACCAAGATGGATGATTGCTTATCAAGTGAAAATGACAAAAACTTGATAGTATGAAGGAACTCAACTTCCCAAAATAAATGTTTCAAAAACCAGCATGATTCTCCTTCATGTCACCTCTTGGCACTACCAAGCATTTCCACACTTACCTATATATCTCCAATATCTCCTCCAAGCTTGCCAAGCATTTTGCACGTGCACCCCATGATTTTTCATGCATTTCTCAGAGTACAACATTTGAAGTATTCATCAGAGTTTACCACAGAATTTTCAGCACACATCTAAATGCTTTCATTTTCATAGAAGATTCCCTATTATGGCATCATATTCTATGTACCTATTTCGGTCATGGGGACCAAGTTTTACTAACTTTTTTTCTCTTTTTCAAGACTACACATGAAATTGCATTTCCAATTGAAATTTATCAACCGAAAGATGATACCTTTTTTCATGGTACTAAAAAGCAAATTTTCAACAAATTGTTTAGTTATCAATCTGACATGATAATGAGGCAGTGTTTAGCCAAAAAAAAAACCATTCAGAAGGTAGACACACAATATCCAAAGCTTTCAATTTGAGTCACAAGAACCTACTGAATCTGGGCCGTTGGCTGACACTGTAGTTGTCAGCCCGTGGGCTTACAGAATCCATTCCCAAATGAATAGGATTTTCGCCTATAGGCTCGGCGCCATCCGATTTTTTCGGACAGTGTGGATTAAAAGGCCACCACGGACATGTCTGTGGCAGTACTGCAACAGACATAGCAGATCCGTGGCGTTATTTTTTCATGCAAAAAAGCATAGGCAATCTGCCATAGCTTGTGTAGATTCGTAATGATTTTTATGGCAAAACCTCTTGATGAAACATTATTCAATTTCGCCTATATATATATATATGGGAGTCACTGCTGTACGCCCATACACGAATGGCCCAAATTGAATCTGAGCCATTCTGTGGCTGATCTGACGCTTACGAATGTCCGATAGTGTTCTCATCGTCAGCTCAATCTCAGTTTAAGATGAATCTTCTCTTGAATCACCTTCCAAATCATTGTTATCACTTAGCAGCCTTTGTACTTGCATCGAATAAAACTCACATGACATGAAAATTCTGCTAGCTTCCCAAAACAAAGGAACACAGTAATTAGGTCCAAATTGTTCCAGCATTCATGCAGGTTGAACTGGACAAGATATTGTCTCTTTTTTGTCTAAGATGCCCTTTTGTAGGAATTGTAGTTTCTTCAAATTTAGTTATCTCGTGCATTATTTGTGAAATTCATTTTTGTTTGGAGCTCTATTTTATCGAACTTGTACCTGAATTGAGGTCCGCTCTTCAAACTAGCAAACGTTTTGGGAGAGGTACAACTATGCAGTGGTAGACCCTAAACAGCCTCACTATTCTTCAAGCTACTATCAAATCATTCCAGTTTTATGTTCTATGATGGGACTCAATGTTTCTAATGGGCAATCTCAATATGGTTTGTGACGTACATGCCCAGATTGATTGCAAGTTAATTAAACCCTGGTAATGCAAATTTCATGATATTGTCTTATAGCATGTTAATCATATTTCTATCTCGAACTCTAATTTATAAGGGGAACAAAATATCTTTTGATTTAGGAAATTGAACGAAGGGGCTGTGGTCAAGAGTAAAGAGGAGGGTAGGTAGTGATAATGGAGTTAACTGCATGGTTGCTTGAGAACTTTCAAGCCTGGTCATGGAGTGAGGTACTGTTTTCTTGGATCACCATTGGTAGTTAGTCGAACTAGAGGCCCAGGAAATAACATTGTGGGAGTCCCCTGCTATGGTGAGAGCTTGGCCCCAAGAGTTGTCAAATAGTTTGAGGCCTGCAAGAAATGATCTAGCTTCTGCTGATTGGAAATCGGATTGACCTATGACTTCGAGAAAGAGGTCAAAGTGGACTATTTGTGGTCTCTAAAAAGACCTATACTTGATAGCCCTGGGTTGCCTATGGAACAACCATCAAAGTTGAGCTTTACGCAGTCCAACTCTGGAGGAAGCCACAAGGAGGCTCGTGAGTTACTCGCGTGGCGGTAAGAAAAGGAGATTGTACCAGTGCAGGTGGAAGGCCGAAGGGGGGAGGCCTTTGAATCGATTGTGATTAGTAGCCCAGCAGATAACTGCTGCTTTGATTATATCAAACAAGGATTCAATGGTAGAGAACTGTCGTCGGAAGATATGATTGTTACGTTCTATCGAAATTTCCCAAATGAGGGCTGCCATTGAAGCCTTCCACAATATGATACCTGAAGAGGCCCAGGGGTAGAGGTGGAGAGAAAAGAAGAGATTGGAAATATTTTTTGGGGTCATCCATTGCCATTTGAAGAGCTGAAGAAAAGCTCCCCACAAGGAATGGGCCAAGGGACAATATATAAAGAGGTGAGGGTTAGTTTCCTAAGGTTCGCGACACATGATACATCAATTAGGTAAAGCCAAGCCTCTCTTTGCAGTTGGTCAATCTCTGAAAGAGGGCAATCTAGTTGATTGGCATGTGGGTCCGTGGACAATGAAGGTTTCACTGTGTGGGTGTGTGGTTTGATGTGTATTTCTACTCGTTCATTTTAGCTTGGTCTTTCATCTGACTCTGAGATATGAGTATGGCTGCTTTGTTTTAGTATCAAATGGGCTATGAAGATTCCTATATGTATCATTATATATACACACACACCCGCACATCCTGTTTCTGAATGGTAGTTTTAGCAATTTTAAAATACCTGTGTCTTTTCCTTTCTATAAAACTAGTGGTGGGCATTAAATATAATTGTGCATGCTCCAAATTTTCAAATTTCAAAACTTTTAATTTTATATTTATTTATCGAATCTACCTGAAATTTGGAGGGTGTGGGCTTAGAAAGATGCAGCCTAAGAACACTA